TACTATATCCTTCCTGGCAGTTTGAACCGATCTGGCCATTTTCCTCTGACACTCTCATCAACAAGGCATTTCCACTGGCAGAATTGTTGCTCACTCAGTGTTTTTTGTTTTTCGCACCATTTTGTGTAAACTCTAGAGACTGTTGTGTGTGTGTATGTGAAAATCCCAGGAGATCAACAGTTTCTGAAACACTCAAACCAGCCCATCCGGTACCAAGAACCATGCTACAGTTAAGGTCACAGAGATCTCACTTTTTCACCTTCACTTTTTCTCACACATTTTTGCTGCCACATGACTGGCTGATTAGATAACTGCATGAATATGCAGGTGTTCCTAATAAAGTACATGGTGAGTGAATTAAATGATGAATTTAATATTGACCTCAGACGACGTTGTGTTTATTTACAATGCTCATAACAGATTCTGGAATGACATATGGTGTTTCAGTGAAATAGACAGTGGCAATGGACATAATACTGCTCCTTCCTCCAGCTGGTATTGTCCAAAAATAATTATCTGTAAATCCAAGGTCAGACTCCACCCTCTGTGCGTAACTCTTGAATAACTTCTGAATAGCGATGTGTGCAACTTTGGTGTTAAATCCCCCAGTATGCGCATACAACCCATCTCTGAATACAGACCTGTATGACAGGATGACATGCAATGTTTCATTTTCTAGAAATAAAGAAATGAGCATTTATATCAATTACTAGTACAAATTAAATGAGTAAATACTAATGTCTGAGCCTAATGTTTGATGCTGCCAAATAAATAGACATAATTATATGACGTCATACAGATTCATAGAAAAAACAGGTAGAAACCTGTCCCACTTGTGTTAATTTGAGTTTTATCACAGAGGAAACATGTAAAAAAAAAAATAATAAAAAGGCTCTAATCAGCCTCACTTAGAATTAAAACAGTTCCCTAATAAACACAAATATTATGTGTACAAGCAAAGACACTATTTTATTGTGGTCATTCACTCGTATACTTGCTAGTAATATCAAGTGCAAAACAAATTTGCATCATTTTACCTTGGTCATATTATTGAAATTTTTTTTATATCCATGAATATCATATAAAATATAAAATGTTTGCTAAATAAATCTAGTCTGGTCTGTAATGACAGTGCTTTTTTTAATTGGTAGAAGTTTAAGTAAAAATATGGCTTTACTTGTAATATCATGAGATCATACCCATTTGTCAGAAATATCCAATTAAATTAGGATTTTCACTCATTATTATCTTCTTCTCATTTTCTTTCAGTGAAAATTCAAGACTAGCAAAGGCATGCACAAGCCAAGACGAATTAACAGAAAGAGACGTCAGTGTGGCTGAGGATGACTGGACCACCCGCCAAGAAGAAAAGTCTTTATTTTTTAAGAAGCCTGGAGTTGAATATGTTTATTTCTCTTTTTATGAGCCAGGGGTTTTTGCAAAAAATGTTGAATTGCACACGTTGAAGTACTTGTCTTCTTGTTCTTCATCTGTTTTTGAAGTGCAGCCAAAACTAGTGCCAAACATTAACTGTGCCAAGTCGGGAGGAGGAAAAGGATATTTCAGCTGCATTTTTCAAATATTTCTCAATCCAATTTTTTTTTTTTTTTTACCCTTTTACCTTACCTTCAACATGAGCATACACATGAAGTGCTTTATTCAGAAGTGACTGTTAGCTGTGCAATTAACCTCACCTCACTGGTAGGAGTTGGCCCTTGATTGAGTGACCAATAACAGGGCCAACAGAAGCCTCCTTAAACCCCACAAAGTGACCTGCTGCTATTTTTGTCCTTGCAAGGCCTGGCATGTTTCTGCTTCATCAGTCAACCTACAAGCCATTGTATGCTTTTGCATTTACTCCTCTTCTTCTTCCCTGATTTCTGTGCACTAGAAAAAAAATTGTCTTCGGAAAAAAAAAAATCTTCAAGCCATAGTTCATATAGCCATCTCTGTCATGATATTTAATACTGGGTTATGAGATTACAATATTTATGAATTTGATTTATAAGAACAGGTTCAAAGATATATTCAGGGATACTCTTGAAGCCAGTGAAAAGAGTGCATTCTGCCATATTCACCAGCATATAATGAGCCATTAATGTTTACATAAGTTTTCCATTGGTTTTCACTTTTTGGAAACCGCACAGTAGAAGTAAAAATACTATTCTGTACTGTAACTTGGATGAGAAAATAACTTGCTTTGATTTGTTGCCCTGAATGTGTTCCATATGGATGAATGACTCCCCACAACCCATACACAAACAGACACACATATTTCCTGACTTGTTTTCAAGTCACAGATTAACGCATGCTGCTTGGTAGCTTTTACCCTGACTGTTTAGTCTCTTCTGAAGTCTTTGGGATGAGCTATCTTCTTGTATAACTTTTAGACAAAAAAAAAAAGATGAGCAACTGTGCTCAATGTTTCGTTCGCAATCACCTTTTCTGAATTATTGTAACTGTGTGGTGTCAATAACTTCCAAAACACTGAAGACATTGTATTTATGTATGCAAGAAAGACATGTGGTTCAGATTCCAAGCTATTTAGAGGCTTGAAAAGTCTTTGTGTGTTTTATTATTTTTTTATCATCATTGCCACAACCAAAAACACTTTATGATTTCATAATAAACACGTCATTTTAAACACATGCCGCAAGTTTACAATTCACAACGAAGAGGTAAATTACACAAGTAAAGGGTTTTATTTTGTTGTTGTTTTTTTCTTTTCTTTACAGAAGTTGATACATAATTGAAGAGGTGTTCATTTTAAAATAGTGCCAAATACAACCAAGGACATTTATAATGCATTTCATAATAATAATAAACCTGTTAAACTTATAATAGGAATAACCTAACAGTGGACTTTAATATATAAGTTTACACTGAAAGAAAAATGTTTACATGTTCCCCTTAAGGTGGACTAATGTTACATCAAGCAGTTTGTTGAAACGTGATAAAAACCTTGCATTTAAAAAGTAAAGAAACCTAATAGTTTGATGTGCGTTAGCGATGATTATAATATTTATATTGTTAACGTTCCCTGAAATTAATGTCATGAATTTGTCATCACCTAAGCATTCACGCACCTAAATTAATTCAAAAATTTTTATGTTGAACTAAAATTAAATGAAATCTGTACAAATAGTTTCAAATTAACTGTGTTCCATTTTTGATGTTGATATTTCTGTAATATTCTGTTGGAATCCATACATTACTGAATATAATTCCATATATTCATAAATAACTGAGAATTTCAGAGTTTCATTGGTTCAACTGAAAAAAAAAAGTTAGACATGCATTTTTGCATAGCATTTGAGGAAAGCTAACTAATGAAATTAAAGCTAACTTCTTGCATATGTTGCATATTGTCAGAGTGGCACACAGTTTTATTTCCCAGTACACCAGCATCTCGTATTGTTAAGAACCGTTTTGTACAAAGTGGTACATTGTTCTTCTAGTTCATTAAGAAACCCTCATCATCAAAATGCCATTTGCTGCCATTTTTTGTTTTTTTCTTCTTTTGGACCATGTGATTTTCACAGTGGCTGTTAGTTCAGAACGTCACTCAGCCAATGGCAGGCCACTGTTGCTTCTGTTGCGAGGATGGGGCAAAGAGCTCCCACCCCCTTCACTGAAAGGGAAGGTAAAAGAAGCAGCGGCCATAGCAGTGGAACCAGAAGTGGCTGAGATCCCTGCAATGCCTCTTCCTCAGATCATGCTCCCTCGTAATATGACCGCCGATGCCCTGAAACCCCCACTGGGGGCTGCACAGGTGGCACCGCCACCTCGTCGTCTGGTGGACGTTGATGTGTGCAGGGGCTACTATGATGTAATGGGACAGTTTGACCACACCTTTAACTGCACAAAGGGCACTTACATATACTGCTGTGGCACTTGTTACTACCGCTTCTGCTGTGAGCATCAGCGCAACCGCCTGAACCAGGACATATGCACCAATTACCACTCGCCCATCTGGGCCAACACACAGGTGCCTGCCACTCAGCCCCCAAGCCGTTCAGATCCAGACTTTGACCCTTTGCAGCAGCAGAGCAACAGTACAGTTTATGTCATTGGTGGTGTCATTTCTTTCACATTGGTTATGGCCATTGGGGTGAAGGTGGCTTTCCGCAAGGTCTCCCGTAGACCCAGGAACCGAGATCTCAATATGCCCAGGTGAGTGACACCATATAAAACATTCATGTGAATAAGTTTGGAAAGGACAGTTGTTAAAATTTAAAATAGTACAGTTTTAAGGTGTGGCCTTATTACTCTTTTATTATTAGTTTGTGACTAAGGTGGTTATATAAACTGGAATCTGACATTTTGAAGATGTTTTTATTCTATAGGGTCTACCATTGTCTGTTTTTGTTACCCCTGAATTCTCCTATTATGCTTTTTTCCTTTTTATTAGAGCACTGGTTGATATATTGCGTCATCAGTCCAGCCCAGTACAGCAGAGTGAAAGAAACAACAGCACCACTGCCACCACCAGCAAAGTCACTCTGGGAAGGCAGCCCAAAAACCATTACGCACCCATCCTCCAGAGCAAAGACAACCGGAGTGAGTATTATGCATGTAAAGCAAATGTGTTAGGACAGAACAGTTTAAAGGATATTTACAATCCAGGTTTGAAATCAAACAATGCATATGAGAAAATAGATCAGAATTTCAGGTTTCATTTCCTGATATTTATATTTAGATGTCTTAAACAATTTAGAACATTTTTTGTTTTAACCCACCAATTTTTGTACAATTGATTATAACATTAATAGTTAATAGCATTTAATAGCTCAGAATGTTGAAAAGCGTCTTTTCAAGCTTTTCTAACCCTAACCCTAAGTCATACATGATGTAAAAGAAAACGTGATTCATCAGACCAAGCCACCATCTTATTGCTCCGTGGTCCAGTGCTGACACTCACGTGCCCTTTGTAGGAGTTTTTGGTGGTAGACAGGGACCAGCATGGCCAGTGTAGAGGCCACCACTTTCTTGGTCTTTGTACCTGGCTGTCTAGTGGTTAGGATTTGGCGTTCTTACTGCTGCGGCGGGTTCGATTCTCGGTCAGGGAATTGTGTTTTACTCACCGCTGGCCAAATTAACATTTAAAAAAAGCCAACTCGCATAAAAAATAAAAAAACTCCCTCGAGCCGGATTTTAACCAGCGACCTAAGGATGACCCCTATAACTACCTACAGTCCACCACTCTACCAACTGAGCTATCGAAGATAAAAAAATTTCTTTGTTAAGTGAACTAGCAAACGAGACCAATTTTCCATTCACATGTGCTCTTTACATGCAACATGGCAAAATGATTTAAAGAAACACTAGACTATTTCTGGAGCCTATAAACTTGTTTGTCCACATTAATATTCTCATATTTCTGCACCTCTTGAATACATTTACTTCAGTTAAGTAAATAGAGCATTTACAAGTTTACATGTACACATTCAAATTATTTCCTTTACTTCAAACCAATGTAATAGGATGGAAGATTTCTTTGGCACGAGCTTGTTTGATGAATGCCAAGGTGCTTTCTTGCTCATCTGAATAGAGTTTTCTCTGCATTAAGACACAGGTTCATAGCAGGCTTCAACTTGCACAGGTTAAACCCCAGTGCAGTTCAAATCCAGTGTCATATTTTCTTGGCCATCACAGGAATGAGCGTGAGACAAGGCTTAATTTCTTGGCCCAGCATCTTTTCAAGTATCAGCAAGGATTCCTCGTTAGTATAGTGGACAGTCTCTCTGCCTGTCACACGGAAGACCAGGGTTCGAGTCCCTGACGGGGAGTTTGTTTTCTAAGTCCAGTGCCATATTCTCTTGCTCATCACAAGAATGGAGTATGAGACAGGGCTTAAGTGCAATTCCTTGGCCAAGCATCTTTAAAAAGCCTTTTCTAACCCTAACCCTGAGCCATACGTGATTCATCAGACCAAGCCACCTTCTTATTGCTCAACGGTCCAGTGCTGATGCTCATGTGCCCTTTGTAGGAGCTTTTGGTGGTAGACAGGGGTTAGCATGGCCAGTGTAGAGGCCATGGACAAGTTTTTGGCCCCTTGGTTTTGCCTGTGAAGACTGCTGTTAAAAAGGATAAACCAATATATAGACCATAGAGCTGTCTCTCGGAGAAAAGCAAGCCATTTTGAAGCTGAGAAAAGAGGGAAAATCAGAGCCATTGGTCAAGAATTGAGAATATAAAAATAACAAAAAAAAACAAACAAACCAGACATTGAACAGGTTGAAAACTACACCAGTTGACGACAGAAAGATTGTGAGAGCTGACCCAAAAACAACAGTCAGTGACATCACCAACAACCTCCACAGGGCAGGGCTGAAGGTATCACAATTCCACCATTCGAAAAATCAAGTCTATCAGTGTTTTATGTTGTTTAACACATCTAGATGAAAATACAAGGAAATGAAACCTAAACTCTCAAATCAAATCCATCTTTTTTTAAACTTTAGTGTGGTGCACAAACAAATGAATTTTTTTGAAAGGACTGTATATATACACTGGGGTCCAAAAGTCTTCCAAAAATAGAAGCATTTTCACCAGTGACCTCAGACTTTTTGGATAAATGTACTTTAACTTGTAGAGTCAACATTTCAAATAGGTTTTGGACAAACAGCTGTGTTTTCTGGGCCAAAGAGGAAAAGGAACATCCAAGCTGTTATCAGGTCCAAAATCCAACATCTGTCATGTTATGGGGGTGTGTCAGTGCCCATGGCATGAGTAACTTGCACGTCTGTGAGTGCACCATTAATGCAGAAAGATATGTACACAATTTGGAGCAACATATGCTGCCATCCAGAGCAGGACAACACCAAACCACATTACAAGCGCATGGTTGCATAAGCAGAGAGTGTGGGTGCTAGCATGGCCTGTCTGCAGTCCTGACCTGTCTCCGATTGAGAATGTGTGGCGCGTTATGAAGCGCAAAATACGGCAACGAAGGCCCTATACAGTTGCACAATTGAAGAAATGCATAATGGATGAATTGGGAAAAGATCTGCTTGCTAATCTTAACCAACTGGTGTCTTCAGTCTCCAAATGCTTAATAAATGTTATTAAAAGAAAAGGTGATGTTACACAGTGGTAACTGTCGACTGTCCCAAATTTTTTGGGGTGTGTTGCAGTCATCAAATAAAACATCAAATAATGTGTAAATAATTTGTTTTCAGTATAGTACAGGGTGAATTGAATTTTCAAATGGCTATTTTTTTTCTTCCATCTTCCATACTGTCCCAACTATTCGGAATTGGGGTTGTACACTATATGGACAAAAGTATGTGGAGAGCAGACAATCATACGTACATATGCTTCTTCCCCCGAAACTGTTGCCACAAAGTTGGAAGCAAATGTAAATATACAATGTCATTACAGTTTCCCTTTGCTAGAACTAAGAGGCCCCAAACCCAGTCCAGCATGACAAAAAGTGCACAAAGTGAGCTCCATGAAGACATGCTGTGTTCAGGTTGGAAGAAGGTGGAAGAACTCGAGTGTCCTGCACAGAGCCCTGACCTCAACCCCACTGAACACCTTTGGGATGAACTGGAACTGGAGCCTCCTCGACATCCCAACATCAGCGCCTGACCTCAACCTCATTAATGCTCTTGTATCTGAATGAACACAAATCCCCATATAGAAACATTAAGATCATCTGGTTTTGCTCTACTCTTTTGCAGTTGGCAAACACAATGTAATCCAGTCTGGGTCCAGCCCCAAACACACAGCTACTATAGGTAAGTAAAAAAGTAGGTGATGTGTGTGTGTGTGTGTGTGTGTGTGTGTGTGTGTGTGTGTGTGTGTGTACATGTGTGCGTGCGCGTGTGCATGCATTTGTGCGAGTGTGTGTGTGTTTAAAATGATCTGTGATACTAAAGTTCTATAATAAACATTTATTAAGCAGTTGTTGAGAAAATGTCTTCAGTGTATAGCGAAAACAATACAATTGGCCTTCCAGTACTTTTGGAGGGTACTGTATATTTTGTATATATAAAAATGTCGTCACTTAGTTACAAAAGAGGCTTAGTGAGTGGGAACATAATCATTTCAGATTGTGTGGTTGTGGTAAGAAGGGAGCTGACATAAGCAGATGACTAATTCTGATTGGTCCTTAGATTGGCCTAACATGACTCATACCATATATAGTCCAGTCTAACTAAAACCAAAGAGAAACCAGCAAAATGCAGAAAAAATAAATTCTGAAATCCTTCACCTTAAGAAAAAGGTCTTACACAGTAGTTAGTAAATTCGCCAGAGAATTTACAATGGTAGCATTTAGGTAATTGTGAAAATAAGTCGCTAGGGGCTTTAACTGTATTTCTCTTTTAAGTCAGCCTGATTGAGCTGTTTCATATGCAGTCAGTGATTAAGCAGTGTTTTATGGAAAAAATTCAACCATCATTTTTCTGCAAATGAGAATTCAGCCAGTGGCATCTTACAGAACTCCCAGATTTGCCTAATTGTTGTCCTTTGAACGGTGTTTAGATGCAAACCCTTATACTCTGTTTTATCAGAGCGTGTACCACGGATGAACAATGCCCAGCTGACCTCCACAGGTACGCTGATCTCCAGCAAGACCAACAACACAGGCCATCCTCTAACCTTCTCTCATTCCTTTCACAACCTGGCTCAGCTCCCTCCAACATATGAAGCTGTTATGAAACCTGATATTAACCGCTATTCCTCCCTCAAGAGACTAGGTGAGTGTGTGACTTAAAATAAAATGTAGATTATTACATTTTCTAAATTGCTCACAAACCATTTATAATCAACACATTGGGATTGAAGTATTGATTGACAACTTTTTAAGCTGTATATAATTTGTCTCCCAACTAAATGCAGAAAAAGAACTGGATGATTACACAAATTATTATACCTCAAAAAGACGACCCAACGATGCACCACCTTCCTTCCACTCCTCCCAGCATTACCTGCACTGGAGTGGTGATTACACTCCAGGAGCAAGGGGTACATTGCCCCTACACTCATCCCGACCCCAAATACATGTACCTACCTCTACTTCCACACCAAATCCTTACCCTTTACCCCAGTCACCGTACAGTCCTACCTTTGAGACAGTGAGCCAGCCTCCACGACGGGTGATGTCTCAAGACCAGCTACTGGCCTTGGGGGAGGGAAACACCCTGTCTTACTTGTCTAAGAACCAGCAGCACCAGTATTACAAAGCCATGGCCACCAGCAAGAGTTCCAACTCAAAGACACTGAGAAACGAACGCCTCCTGGTGTCACCTGAGGAAAGAATGATGGGGAGTGCAGTGGGTGACTATGGGGGGTTGCTGTCTCACCTGAGCCATCATAAGAAAACGCAGTCACAGCAGAATGTGTGTGTGACCCCGTTACTTGACCGACACCACATGATCAAAATGAATTCGCACCCAACATCTGGCTGTGAACAGGAGTTCACAAACATTGCTGCTACCATGTCATCTGGCCATGGAACTGGCACTATGGGTTGGGGGGAGGGTCATGGCTCTGCTGGTGCCGCAGGGACGATCAGCCAAAATGCCCGCAGGATGGCATTTGCTGTAAAGCGGCAGAACACCATTGAACAGCTGCACTTCCTCCCTGGGGCAGGGGGAGGCAGTCAGGCACTGTGGACAGGGAGTAAAAATGAAGTCACGGTGTGAAGAAGGGGTGAGACAGAAGAGGACAGAAAAGGGATGATAGAAAAATTAAACATATTTGCTCAAATGGAGGAGAGGACTAATGTTTTAAGGCAGACAGTAAGTTAGAATGACAGGAGATGGACACAATAGGGAAGATGGAAAAGCTTTAGAGTGAGGAGTCTCATAGCAAAAAACTTGGTATACTGCAAGGACAGAAGTGAGGCAATACATGGTTCTGAAGATTCATTGTTGCCCCTTGCTGCTTGTTGCTAAGAAACAGGATAAGATACACCCATGTTATGTTAATAATAAAAATGTTAAAAGAAATGATGGAAAATGTTTTAAAGGTTTTCTCCAACATGGACCTTCTAGCAAGTACATTTAATTTTATATAATATAAAGCTTAATACTACTGAGTTTTTATTGGGAAAGGACTATGGAGGATAATATGGCAGAAAATAGGTGGAAACTTGAATGGTCTCTGATGACAGGAATTGACAGGTACATTTGTGAAGACTGTATATTTGTGAAATTTCCAGATGTAATGTTACAGCAGCAGAAATAAACATTGAGTAATAAGCTATCATGAACTCCACTGCGGCTTCAAGTGGGCAATGACAAAAAAAGAAAAGAAAACACGTTTCCAAAAATGAATTGATTTTCGTTATCAATAGCGGTCCAGCAGACATATAAATAAGAAGCTGTGACGCTAGACACTGACGCAACATTGAACAATATTGTGATACAATTCTTTATATTTAAGAGTGCTGACTCTTTTATAATACAGCTTGGGGTAGGTGTGGGTTAGATGTTTGACAATGGGTCTCCAATAATGTAGTGTCACATAAACTATATAGGAATATGCAGTGGTAATCTTAGATTCATAGGGAAATATTTAAAGAATCCAAGGGCCTTGTAATTTGTGGTTAGAAAATAATATCACCCTGTGCTCAGTATGTGGCAAAAATGAGCCAGAAGGCATTGTGCCTGTTGAACAAGCATGTCTGACCAGTTAAAGGACTACTACATACGACTTCACTAGTCCTGGTTCCTGACATTTGGTCTGTTATCATGGAAGCGTGGCAGAAGACAAATTAATTATGAGCATGCTTTGTTGTCAACAAAACTGCAGACACACAATTTGTAACAGTTGATTA